GTGGTTTCATTCGTGCCAGCTTTTCGGTGGTCTGTCCTCTCTGCTTGGCAGGGAAGTCCTCCAGCACAACCTTTGAAATCAATCACGCTTGTAGATGTGAGGTTGTGGGCAAGGACGCTTCTCCCCAGTAAATGAAAAGTGGACGGAAGGAAACATCAAAACAGTAAGGATTTTGGAGGAGTTGTTGTTTTTATTTTTAAACCAAGTACAGTTATTCTGCATCACAAGAAACAAAAATAGATATAAAGCCATTGGGTTGAAAATACACATGAAAAGATTTCAGCCCCTAATCTCAGAAAACTAGCATATGGCCGGTTTTAAAGTTCAAAGCTCTGCTGATGAACGCATAGACCTAGATATCCGAAATCCTGTGTGATTTTGTTTTTCACAAGGACCTTAGAGATTAGAATAGAGTCTGAAGTAATTAAAGTCAATGCGGGGAGAGCAAACTATTAGGATTTTTGTTCCACGTAAGGAGACTGTGTTGGCTGGTAAGTCTTCAGGGTTCTCAGTGACGGAAGGCCAGCTCTGTGCCCTTGGGGTGGCACTTCCCCTCCTAAGCCCAGTCCTTCCTGCTTTGCTGGAAGTTCCCAGCCCACTCAGAGCTGAGCGGAGCTGAAAAGATTATTTCCTTGTACCCTGACCTGCGCGCCAGGATACGGGTGTACCCCCAGGGGGTTTTTTGGTATATGCAGCTCCTGGGGTCATCTCCCAATAACTCCCAGTATTCACACACCCCTTTAGGGTTTCCACAGCCTGTTATGTACATAAAATCAATTAATCCTCATGACCATTGTGGGAGTCTATGTAATCATCCCCACTGCACAGGTAAAGAAACTGAGGCTGCCAGGGGTGGAGTCCCTTGTCCCAAAGCCACACAGCTTCCAAGTGACAGGCCCGCAGGCCCAGGTCTGAGTCCAGAGCATGTGCTTTTGTTTTTGTTTTTAACCATTGCTCTGCTTTTGTGTGTTTAAAGCAGTAATGTACAAAGTCTTCTCTAAATGAGTGAAGTCATTTCTTCCAAGTAAAATCAGTAACCTGGAAGGGTAAGCAAATACATGAGGGAGAGAGGAGAGCTGGTCCTCCTGAAATCTTTTCCTCTGGTGTCTTGCCTTCACTGGGTTCTCAGGGTGGGCTCGTTTAGAAGGTGACATTCCAGCGAAGCTGGAAGGAGGTGAGGGAAGAAGCAGTGCCGGGGGCTGGGGAAGCATGTTCCAGGCAGAAGCAACAGCCCGGCCAGGCCCTGAAAGCGGGAGCACACGGGTCCTGGGGAGAAACCGCAAAGGCCAGTGAGCTCGGAGCAGGGCGAGCTGGGGACAGTGGGGAGATAAGGGGTCCAGAGGGGCTGGATCACATCGGACCTCTGTGGCAGGCTGGGTTCTCCCGAAGCAGGCCTGGAGACGGCATTCGGTGGGCAGGTCAGTTTTAGGAACATCATTGGGATCAGGTCTGTGGAAAGGGGCTGGACCCAGGTGCCTGTCAGAGTCGCCCAGGGCGGGGCGAGCTGTCTGAGCCTTGATGGCCCTTGTCGCTCAGTCTCTGGACGTGGGCTGCCCGGGCGGCTGTGACCTTGGGCGAGGTGATGCATGCTGGGAGAGGCAATCCCTGAAGACGCCGACAGCCGGGGCCGTCTGCCAGCAGCACTTCCAGGGCGCGGTAGTAAGTCATCGCGAGGGGATCGAGGCAGCGCCCGCCGCGTGCGCAGCACCCTCCAGGCGCTTCCTCGCTGCGAGGTCTGGAGCCGGGGAGTGAACCGGCCAGCGCCCCGTGCGAGG